AGCTCACACAATTTTAACATTTTTGCCGGGAAAGTTAGCAACTCGTTGCTGGATTTTTATGAAGCAAAATTAAAAAGAGATTATAAAAATGTTTAAAAATCGTCAAAAATAATAAAATTTACAAAACTTACCAAACGGTATATAAAATTAAACTTATTCTTCTTAAATTAGGACATTTCATTATATCCAAAAATGTTATTTGTTTATTATCCTTTCCTTCGCTCTCCTGAAATGTAAAAAACTCTTGTCTTTATAAAGAAATTAATTGAAATAAAAGTTAAATTAATATTTGAAGAAAATTTATTTACTATCATAATCTTTTCTGATATCGATTGTAATTTTTCATTTAAGTTGACTACATTTCTTTTATTCAACTTGGCAGCATATCTGAGTATTTCTTCAGCTTCGTTAACTCTACCTTGGGAAAGAAGCCATCTTGGAGATTCCGGAATTATCCTATTTTCAGAATTCTAAAATTAACTTACAAAAATGTCTTAAGTAAATAGCAAATAATGAATACCTCCACAATGGAAAGAAAATTATGAAAGACAAAGCAGATATTAATTCAATATGAAACCAATCTCTGAAAAGCCACACAAGCCCAGGAAGAATCATCTGCCCTAATGCCCATCCAGCTGTACCAAATAATCCAACCAAAAGTCTATATTCTTTTCCAACCACTTCCGTTGCTACGTATTGAACATAATTAGCATAACATAATGTTATTAAAAGTTAAATATAATTAATTATACTTACACAATACATAGATAATCAAAAACGAAGATGCTCTTCCCAGTGCAAGAAAAAATCGGCATATGGCAAACATCCAGAAATTTTGAGAAAATGTACTTATCATACCGAAGATAAACGTCCATACCACACATATGTAAAATGTACGCTTTCTTCCAAATCTAATTTTTAGTCATAACATATGATAAATTATTATTTAAAAAAAAATATTATTAAATTATAAATTTAAATAAGACTTACTTATCAGATAATTGTCCTCCAATAAAAGCTGTTAATAAAAATCCCAGATAATAAAGCGATTGAGCCAAAGAAGCCAACCAAGCTCTGTCACATACCAGATCCCACTATAAATTAATTATATATAGTTTATTTATTAATAGAGTTAACAATATTGAGTTGAAATAATTTTATTATAGTAAGTGATTTATTATTTTTAATATAATTATAACATGAATAATAAATTATATATCGTTATTGTTTAAAATATCTCTTTGCAGATGACGTTTAGAGTAGAGCAGAAAGGCAGGGCCGTCGAGCTTGAAATAGAGTGGACCCTTTTGGCATTTATTTTTGAACAAATGAAATACCTAAAATATTTATTTTTAATTTAAAAAAAAAAATCTAACAACGAGTTGCGTAACTTTTCCGGCTTTTAAGGAATTTTATTTTAAAAATAACATTTGTATTATTAATTAATCAAAAATAAATAACTAACAAATTGTATGTGGCGTCATCTGTTATGAGATTTTGTTATAAAAATTTTTATATTTTTTGAATTATTATAACATAGCAAAAGACTTAATTTTGAGGGTAGAGATGAGTTTTATAAAACACTGTAAATGGTAACAACAAGTAAAATCATTAAATCTGACCTCTCGCAAAATATGACACCCTGTAACCCACACCGTGACCACTCTCTATCTCTCTATCCCCTTGACCTTTCACAACCAAAATTTAATATCATCAATGTCCCTTATATACAAGCTACCATGCCAAATTTCCTTTCTTTATCTTTACTCCGGTCTGAGATATTAAGCGAAATAAATGCCAACACACACATATATATACATACATATCCACGGAATTTTTTGGGTTCAGGAGTCTCAAAACGAGGAGATTTGCAAAAAACTAGGAGTGTCAAATTTCACAAAATTATCAAACTTTCCTTTGTTATGTATATATAAAAGCCGGGAAAGTAAAAGAAGTCTTAAAGATCTTATTTTTTGTTAGTAAAATAACATTAATTTAGAGGGTTTTCTCCGGGCCCAGGGAAAAATCCCTAGTTCCCTTTCCCTCTAGACTTCGCTACAAACAGGTTTAATTATAGAAATTCAATATTAACCTTTATATAAATATTAAAAGCTAAATATTCTTACTTCTTCGACAATAGTCGATTTGTAGAAGGAATGATCGTAATCCCACGAGGTACACGATATTAGAGTTTTATTAGAGCTCCTAATTAATGAATCATACATTTCACATTTGCTGTATATTCGTACATTATCTTCTATTACTAAGGGTATACTGTAATTTTTCCATTCTTCCATAGTCAAATTTGCATATTCTGAAGGCTTTTTACACCAATAATTAATATTCGGTGCTAAAAATGCCATATTTAAATTATACCATGCGGCAGGTATGCTTAAATATGCTAAACACAACAAGATAATCGTCTGCCATTTTCCCCACCGTCCAGTTATATCAATAATATCTGAATTTTCTTCTTTTATATTCTCACTAAATCGATAAAAAAAAAATATTATTAATAATTTACGCGTTTAGAATTAAAACTATTATAAAATAAATTTAGTAAAAATTGCTATATAGTTACTAAAACATATAAACTTACCTATACACACCATCGGATAAATCGTTCATTGTTGCAATTAAATAGTAAATGCCTATAAATTGTTAAAACGTTTTTCCTGTTAAAAAGGAATAATGTAGAATTAACATACGATGCAAATTTTATATTAAAGCAATGGTCAAATACACAATTTCTAAAAGAAATAATATTCGCGCGTGATGTAATTATTTGAAAAGAAAATGACGTTACAATATGTTTTGTAAGTTACTCATCCGCGACGTCATACAATTTATTATTACACATACTACAATACGTCATCAGATTATCTATCCACGATATTATCTGATTTTAACATTAAAAAAAAAAGTTTTTACGCACAAACATGAATAGACAATTTTATTTAATTATTCTATTGTTTTAATACTAATAATAATAGTCTGAAATGTAAATTATATAAATAAAAAAGTTAATATATATTATTATTTTTCGAATGTTCTTATTGTAAAATTTTAATTAAAATGTTTTTGATAAATAAAGTATAAAATTATATCTGGTGGAATACATACATTTCCTAATTCCTTAATATCAAAATAACTCATTACTATTTTCTAAATAATTATTCAATACAACAAAACTACCTTTGTTTCTGAGAGAGAATTTTACCTCTAAATCTTTTCTAATTCTTCCCTTCCTTCTGGAGATAAATNATATTAAATATAAATAAACTGTTATAAAATAATTTAAAAAAAAGGAGGTATAAAATTATCGTTCGTGAATAGTATTTCATAAGCTTGCAAATTTACAGTTAATAATGGTGCTCTACACTGAAAACAATTTTGAGCATTAAAATAGTCAAAATATGTATTGATTACTACAGTCATAATGATAGGTGTTCAAGGACTATAAACATCGCGTAGGGAGAAGTTAATTTAATTAATTGTTTCATTTATCGTGTAAAAAGTGTATGTTCAATTAAAAACAGAAGAATAACTAATTATAAAGATTTAAACAATTGTTTTACTATTGTGAGTACAAAATCAATCATCATTAGAGTATAAAATGTGGAATCGATATTGTATAGAATTGGTCAGGGGTTTTCAACTTGTATTCAACAGTAAAACTTTGAGGTCCCACAATAAAATCTTTATCGATAATCGGGAGTTCGGTATATTTAATAACAGATGGCATCACACATTAATTTTTTTATAATTTGTGGAATTTCGCATTATTTTTTAAAATGAAGATTTTCATCGCAATTCGACAAAATTATTATTTTTTAAATGTAAATTTTATATTATAGCATTGAATTATATCGTAACATAATTGAAAATTATCCGTATTCCTAATGGTCTTATTAACTCCTGTTTGGGTGCAGGGAAAGTCGAGCAAGAGTCCTTGTCTGTTGTTTTGCTTTCTTTACAACGATTTCTCAAATCTTTCTTAGTATTAATAAACTGTAATTTTTATAAATTAAAGTAACAATACTGGAGACATCTTTTGACAATTCTATGAGAATGTTTACACAATGCAAAACGCTTATAATTTTAAATGAAAAATTTTGCTAAAAATACAATTCGCAATTAGATTAAATCTAATAAACTTTTAAATACTTTTTTAAAATTACACTATAAATTTACCGATGTCTATAAATTAATTATTAACATTTATCCATTTTATACCGTACATAATCCTTATTTAAATTTACGTTACTTAATATGTTTTGCTTTTATTTTATTTTCCTTCTTTTTATTAGAAAGTAAGGGCTTCACTTTGATTTAGTTTATTGTCTTTGTATTTAAAAACTGCAAACCTACTTTAGTGTAAATTATAGACAAAAAGTTAATGATGCAAATAACTGAATATTACAAAAATATAACAACTTCAACACAACATGCTCAATACTTTTTACAACTGAACATAATTTGGAGTCCTTGCATTTGAGATTTTTAATAAAATTTTATGCAAATGACTATTCATATTTATTTTTTTTTCTAACAATTTACCCGTGATGAAGTTTAATGTTTTGTAATGCATTTTTCGAAGAAATATGAGATATACCGATTTCATTTCCATTAATTATTATTGGATATTTTAAATTAACTTATTTGCTGT